TAAACACCGGTTCCTGTACGATCACCGAAGTTAAGCAACGTCGAACCTGGTCAGTAGTTTGATGGGTGATCGCTTTGGGCTACCAGTTGCTGTAAGCTTGAATTGTCCGAGTTCCAATTCCAGTTGGGTTTGTTATATTCATTTACGAGCAAATACCTTTGGGAGAAAAGGTATAAATCCACCTCTTCTCCCTCTAGTTATGGGTTAATTAGTAAGTATCACTAAACCGTTATTATCTTCAAATGTTCTTACAATCTAATAAATATTTTCTGGCTTTAAATAACCAGCAAAGGGTCGACAAGCCGTAAAAAACGAATTAATCAATAAAAATAACTATTTTTATTTTATTTTATTTATTGATGTCTTAACAATATTTTTATTTATTTATTTTATAATTTTATTTACTTGTTAATTCTTTCCCCTCCTCCAATATAACCGTCCTGGGTATGATAATAAATTACATCCGCGTCCTGGGTAAGACGATAAACTACGTCCAGCAGCAAGGCCTTTGACCAGGAGTTTTTGAGGAGCATGGAACCACCTCTTAATTGCTGGTGTTCCCAGATCCACCCTGACCCGTGGTGATAGCACCTAAAAATCTAATCGGCATTAAATAACCCATTGAGGTTGATATGCCGTTAAACAAAATAGACCAAACCAATCTAAACCAAAGAATACATATTCTATTCATACGAATCTATCCTAAAAATGTTGTTGGCATTAAATAACACATTGAGGTTGATATGCCGTTAAACAAAATAGACCAAACCAATCTAAACCAAAAAATACATATTCTATTCATACGAATCTATCCTAAAAATGTTGTTGGAATTAAATAACACATTGAGGTTGATATGCTGTTAAACAAAATAGACCAAACCAATCTAAACCAAAGAATACATATTCTATTCATACGAATCTATCCTAAAAATGTTGTCGGCATTAAATAACCCATTGAGGTTGATATGCCGTAAACCAAACTAACCAAACCTAACTATCACTATGAATCTATTTCAAAATTTTGTTGCCATTAAATGACCCATTGATTTTGATATGCTATAAAAGAAAACAACCAACCAACCTCCAATATAACTGAGAATGACATCTTCTTGTCACTATCTCCGTTGCAGTAATCTTCTTGTGAGCCAGCACACAGTCTCATCAATGTTAGTGCCTACAAAGTTTGCAGTAAAATGTCGATTCTACATATAATTGATCCACTGTCCAGATTCCAAAAGTAGTTACATAGTATTAGTATATGTTTCCTATGTAAACCCGCTTAATCATCTTGGTTAGACATTGACAACCTCCTGAACACGTGTGTGCAAGATATGTCCAAAAGAAACACTGCTTTTTAATATTAATGGCACCTACAGCAATAGTGCCTTTATACTCTTCAAATGGAGGCATGGTGGAATAATGGTTAGCAGTTCGGATTGAGAAATCAGAGAGCCGAGTTCCAGTCGGATCTATTACATTCACTTATATTCTAATACACTTGGAAAAGGTTTGAATCCTCTTCTTCACCTCCCAACTATAGGTAAATAGCAGGACAGTTTATAGACTTGGTTGGCAATCTAAGATAGGCTTTAGTAGTAACCTGTCTCGGAGAATTCTAACCCTAACCCCACAACCGGCCGAATTCAAACCGGCCTGGCTATCTTGCTCAAGAAACACCACTTCTATTGAGGTTGCACGGATTCATGATCGTGATACACTTCAAATTACACTGTTTATAACCATACATATATATCCCAGCATCAATTCCACTTCGACTGCCATCACCATGGCATCACACTGGCAATAGTTCCCAAGGAGTGAAATCCGGACTGTATTTGGTATATATCTCACTGCCGACTGAGTAATACTATAGGAAAGGTTCTGTTCATGCATGCGGAATAATGTCCCCTCTAATTGGTTGCCAAGTTATAATCAGTGGACCTCATAATATTTGTAATATTTACAAATTAACAATTGGGATCTTGACAGGCGGTGGCCATTTCAGTGTACGTTGCCCGTCCTGCTCTTCAATTTTGTTATAAAAATGGACTCGATTGAAGAATTGGGTTTTGTAGGCTTCTGTGTCTCCAAGCAGGAAAAGCTGGAATTTCTCTATTGTTCGCATGCCAATCAGTAAGAAGCTCACCTATGTTTGTTAAAAAAGTATTCTAACAGTGTTTGATCCTCTCCACTCCCCGATAGCCAACAGCGGGTGTTCATCAGATTAGCTGCACAAACAACCCTTTGTTAACGCCACGGTGACTTTGTCTTAATATCGACATTTTAATATGTACTAGCAGTAGAGCCCAGCGTTGCCCAGGAATGTAACAGTAAGAGATAGATCAAGTATCGACCATCATAAAGACTGAAAAATAAAATTGACAAAGATTATTGTTTAAGGTTGACGGACACGCATGTCTTAATTAGTTTTTTTTTTTTTTTGCTTTTTTTTTTTTTTTTTTTTTTTTTTATTAATTGGTCAAACCCAAACTCAAACAAAAACATTGTTTTCAATCGTTATGAGTCTACCGATTGAATAGAATTTTATTATAAACAATTGTCGTGTAAATGAAATTTTTAAAGCATTCTGAATGTAAAAATAAAGAAAAAAGTGTGCAAGACAATAAGAAACACTACCTGCCAAAAAAAAGTGAAATTTTGTTGAAATCGGTTGAAAAATGTAGGAAATCCTATTCCATATATAAACGAACACAGACACACACACACACACACACACACACACACACACACACACACACACACACACAAACAACCTGGGTTTTATAAGTATAACTCGAAATGAGTTGTCCCCCTTTCATTCTGGCGACAGAATCGTGTTTTATCGTGTTTTCAAATTGATTTCGTGCAAAAACAATTGTATTTTTCCGTTTTTGGCGCTGTCAGAACCACCTCAAGGTAATTTTACGTAGTCTGTGAAGTTTTGTTGAAATTGGTTGAAAAATGTAGGAAATCCGATCCAATATATAAACGTAACACACACAACACACACACACACACACACACACACACACACACACACAATCTGCGTTTTATAATAAGATAATATAGAAATATAATCAGGATTTTCAAATAACACGCGAACGATACAGTTTTAGAAGGCAGAAAATAGTATAAATTTATCGTCAGGTTAATGTTTTTTCTAATGATTTAATTACATTAACTTCCTTTACAAATATATATTTTTGGCTTTTTTTGATCGTCCATTCCAAAGGTGGGGATAAAGACACGTTGTTTTGAAAACATGAATGATTTTGAATCGTTGAAGCCAATGTTCATTATTTTGAACTGTTCAACCTAATGGTCAGTATTTTGAGATATTAAGCAAATGGTCATTATTCTACATCGTTGAAGCCAATGGTCATGATTTTGAAATTTTCAATCAGTATTTTGAGACATGAAATCAAATGGACATTATTCTGAATCGTTGAAGCCAATGGTCGTCATTTTGAATTTTTCAAGTTAATGGTTAGTATTTTGAGATATTAAAACAATTTTTCTTTATTTTCTTTCTTTCTTTTTTCCTTTTTGTTCTTTTCTTTTTTCTTTACCTTTTCTTATTCTTTTTTACTCATTCTTTTTTCCATTTTTTCTTTTTATTCTATTCTTTCTTTTCTTTTTTTCTTTTCCTTCGTTTATCTCTTTTTCCTTTTCTTTTTGTTCTTTTTCCTTCCCGTTTCTCGTCCTTTCTTTTCTTTCTTTTTCTATTCTTTTCCTCTTTTCACTTTTCCTTTTTTTTTATTCATTCTTTTCCCTTTACTTCGCTTTTCTTTTTCTTTTTTCTTTACCGTTTCTTTCTTTCTCTTTCCCTCGTCAAGTTCCTCTCTCTCTCTCTCTCTCTCTCTCTCTCTCTCTCTCTTCTTTTTCTTTTCTTTATTCTTCTCACTTGCATCCATTTTCTTTTTTCCTTTTTTGTTTCTTTCTCTTCCTTTTCTTTTGTTTTATTCATCTTTTCCCCGTCTTTTTCTTTATTTCCTTACTTTCTTTCTTCTTTCTTTCCCTCTTTTTCTTCTTTCTTTTCTTGTTCTCTTCTTTTCTATTTCTTTTTTCTTTTATTTTTTTTGTTCTTTTGTCTTATTTTCTTTCTTTCTCTCTATTCTTCCTTGTCTTTACATTTCTTCTTTTCTCTCATTTTTTTAAAGGAAGAACCCATATTTACTTTGTTCCATTCTTCAAGCACATCCTCTTCCAGCCAACCCCTACATCCCCCATTTCCATTGCTCGCCCACACCCCGTTTGTCCTCACGCTTTTCCAACTATCCCTACCCAGAAATCTTATCTTCCTCCATTTTCAACCACCAACCTATCCCAGTCGTCGGTGATGCAAGTTCATGACTAAGACCGAATCATTATCTGATCTGATGTTTAGATAATTATATAGAGAAATTTATACACCTGGTCTCTGAATAGAGGTGCGGGGATGTTTTATATTAAGGAGAAGGTTTTAGAGTTTAGCAATAGCGAAAATATTGCCCCCCAGCAGAAAGAACAGAAATAAATGTAAAACATTAACAAGAACATAATCCGGAAAAAATATCTCACTCTTATATTTTACAAAATTTTATTGAATCATTTTAAGAAAGGTCAAATATATAGAGCAATCGCCACGAAATCTCTAGGAATATATTCCAAGATCCCTAATAGATGCCTGAAACTGAGGATAGAACCAAATCCTATCCTTAAATATAATACGCCACACACACACACACACACACACACACACACACATAGTGATTTTCCAAGCGTAGCTTGATGTGTCACAAGGCTGAACGTAGGGGCACCCAGTGAGGAAGTGATTTTCCAAGCGTAGCCTAGATGTGGCATGAGGCCGAAAATATGGGCACCCATTGAGGATCCAACTCACTACTCAGTCGTAATTATTCTAGCGAGACAAGCTTGCTAACTATTACACCGCCTTGAGGAGCCCGATGATTTTCCAAGCGTAGCTTAGATGTTGCACAAGGCCAAAAGAATGGGGCACCCAGTGAGCATCCAACTCACTACTCAGTCGTAATTGTTCTAGCGAGACATGCTTGCTAACCATTACACCGCCACGAGGAGTCCAATGATTTTCCCAGTCTAGCTTAGATGTGGCACAAGGCCGAAAGAATGGGGCACCCAGTGAGCATCCAACTCAGTCGTAATTGTTCTAGCGAGACAAGCTTGCTAACCATTACACCACCTCGAGGTGTCCAAAATGATTTTCCAAACGTAGCTTAGATGTGGTACAAGGCCGAAAATAGGGGCACCCAGTGAGGATCCAACTCACTACTCAGTCGTAATTATTCTAGCGAGACAAGCTTACTAACCATTACACTGCCTCGAGGTGCCCCCCATATATATATATATATATATATATATATATATATATATATATATATATATATATGGATATTACACCGAAAATATGTCAAAATCGCTACACATTTGCAGTTGTGTTTCGATGCGTATTAATGCATCTCATTAGACAACTGTAAATTACTGGCGAGTGAAAGATTTTCAATTTAAAAGCAAAATACAACTTATTTTTACGAAAAAAAGTAAAAGGTGTTTATAAAGTTTGTGGGCTTTACTTTGATCAGCCAATCAAATATGATCTCCGTTAAATTTAATCTAAGCGAAGAAGGAAAAATTAAAAATTATTTTTTATAAATGGGCCATGACTCGTAGATTGGCAGCTGACGGCAGTCAGACATAAACTAAAGCGGATACAAATGGTTACATAAATTATACAAACCAGACAAGGCGGTTTTCCAAGAAATAAAAATTTGGCGGTGAGATAATTTAACAAAATGCTAAACAAGTTATAGGCAACATTTAGTAAAAAGAAGTTTTATTTTGCATTTAAATCTAAATAAATCGTTCGCTCGTCAGTAATTCACAATCGCCTGGTGAGATGCATTGTTACGCATCGAAACACGACTGCAATTGTGTAGCGATTTTAACATGTTTTCGATTTAATATCGTAAAATAAATAATATTGCTCTACTCTGTATTGAAACCTCTTTTTAAATTAAATGTTACGAACGTTGGAATTGTACTTTATTCGTTCTCATCATACCTGGATATATATATATATATATATATATATATATATATATATATATATATATATATATATAATAAAAGCCAGACAAACCTAAGGTTTCACCTACTCGGATCGTCAGTCCGCCTAAAAGGTGAAACCTAGGCAGATTTGTCTGGCTCTTTTAAACTCTACCAAGGTTTCTTAGTTATTTTTACTTTTTACTCGTGTCGGAGGTTTTTTTCTTTGGACTCTGAACTTAGATTCTAGACGATTAATTTTCGCGGGAAGTATATTTTTCTTTTTCTTTTTTTTTTTTACACTTTTCTCCCTTGGGTATTGGTCTGTTCATTTACAAGCTAAAACACCTAAGGTTTTGCCGGACGAGTATAGCTGCTTATATTTATAAGATTATTAGTGTTTTATATATATATATATATATATATATATATATATATATATATATATATATGTATGTATAATTTTTGCGAGTGTGTCACAATTCAGGGACTGTGTGCAAATTTTTGGCATGAGACGTACAGAAGTCAAGACCACCATTCACCTTCCCACACAAAAAGCTACCGCGCTGAAAACTACAAAGAAACCGCCCCGAACGAGGCCGATACAATTACAATAACAACTAAATTCTATTTCCTGCTTCCTCCGTTACTACTAAAAACACGCACACACGTACTGACTCTTTCATATAAACGATGACCCACCAGCTTAAATTGAAGTTATATTTGTTTTTAAAAAGAAAAAAGAAACATATAACATTTCACTACTTCTCACATATGTACATAAATCATATTTATTTCTTCCTAATTGGCCCTAAAAAGGAAATAAAATACAGTTAAATTCAACGTGACTAATGTTGCCTGTAGCTTATGTCTCTCGCTCATGTTCTTTTATTTAAATAAAGTTGTTTTTTTTTTCTTTACCAAAATAAATATAACTTTGAATTTGGGCGGATGGGTCATCGTAATTTTGCATATTTCCCCTCAATTGTTACACAGAACATTTTTTTACTAGGATTAAAGGAAAATTACTTACAATATAATACATATTACTTATAAGACATTCCTTCTTGCCGTCAATTTTCACCTCAAGGGCAAACTTATATATATATATATATATATATATATATATATATATATTATAAATTAACTGATTTAAATTATGGATTCTTCTGTTAATTTACATTGAGCACTGTTTTGTAAAAATCAATAAGAACACTGGATTATATATCTTACTGTTCTTTCTTTTTATTATGTGTGTGTGTGTGTGCATGTGCAGTGTGTGTGCATGTGCGTGTGTATGTAGGTTTCCCTCTCTCTCTCTCTCTCTCTCTCTATATATATATATATATATATATATATATATATATATATATATATGCATATTAAAGAAAGACCTTATACAGCTTATAATTTTAAAAAACAATGATCATAACATTCATCGAGCGTGTGTGTGTGTGTGTGTGTGTGTTTGTGTGTGTGTGTGTGTGTGTGTGTGTGTGTGTGTGTGTGTGTGTGTGTGTGTGTGTAAGATTTTAGATATAACTGAAATATATCCGTAAAAAGACAATATGAATAAAGACAAATGGAAGACTTATGTTGGCCGACGCGTTTGGGAAAACTTGCAGACATTAAAAAAAAAAACAAAAAAAAAAAAACGTATCTATGAACACAAAAGGGATCTTATACACAACACTTTATCAAATGCATTAGTCATACATAGAAATAAGTTTAGCCACATCTATGATCTAAAGCAACGCTTCTTGAACTTTTTTTCGGACATAACACCATTTTTCATGACGAGATTTTTCGCAACCCCTGTTATTAACCAGCTAAATTGAAAATAGATCCGTTGTCACTGCCCGTGTCACAACGTCGTGCATTTTATCGCCGCAGCTCTTGCATTGGCACATCACGTTAAATATTGTGCGTTTTGGAAATAACAGATAAACTGAAATTCAACTGTTTGAATTTAATTTTCGCGACCCCAGCATTTCGCTTCGCGACTGCATTTGGGGTCGCGACCCATACTTTATGAAACGCTGATCTAAAGAATGCCACATTTATTAGAAGAGGAAGTTATTTAGACGGAAAATTCTTGAGAATGCTGCTATCGAATCTTATCAAAATATAAATCTGCGTCCTGAATTTTTTTCAAATATCTCCGTCCCTGAAAGAATTACTCCTTTTCCAAGCCAACGTATATGACCATAAAAATATTTTAAAAATTAAAAATGGTTAGATTCATAACCTCCTGCTATTTAATATATATAATAGATAAATTTATCCCATACTAAATATATATTAAATATGAAGTGCATAAAGAAAATTCATTATCGTTTATTAAACATTAAATTATGTCACTTAGCTTCCTCCATAATTTACCTAGACAGTTAACCTGATGAATATTGATGGGCGTCTTTTGAATTTAAAATAACACGCTTAGGCGATCATGCACCTTTCTTGTACATGACTGACGCAGTAGGTTGCTATTTCTTTCAAGTTTATTATGGATTACACATATTTTTATTCGTATTTGCAAATTATTATTTCTCACATATTACTTAGACCATTTCTTTCTGCGGTAGACCAGTTGCCATCCAAGGCTATAGAACCCGGTCTATCCTGCCATTTACCCATAGCGGGGAGAAGAAGAGGATTAATACCTTTCCCAAGGGTATTAGCACATTAGTGAATGTAATGGATTCGAATTCGGCTCTTCGGTTCCTCTATCCGAGCCGTTATCCATTACGCCATCGTGCCACCACTTTATAAAAACTTGTTGCAAAATAAAAATCCTCAAACTTACCTTCATAATGTCCATCAGAGGAAAAACTTTAGAAATTATTAGAACAGATACTACACTTTGATCCAAGCCCGATGAATAATATGCCCATTCCCATTACCTCTATAAATTACAATAAGAAATTCCCAACAACGATAAGAAGATGTTTGAAGTAAAGTTATGTGACAGGAGATTCGTTCTTGCTGTATATTTTATGAAACGCAAATTTTCAGCATCATTAATTTTGTGCTTTCTGATCCTTGTTATGTAAAACACAATGAGAAACTTTTCTTTCTCTGTTCAATTACATTTACGTCAAAAGATTTCGAATTATTCGGCATCTTACCATGATATTAGACATTTTACTTTATGATTAAAAAAAAATATTCTTTTTCTTGAAAAGAGAAAAACAAGTATTCAAATACTGACTAGTATTGCATGATAGATAGATAGATAGATAGATAGATAGATAGATACGAAATAGACTGTGATAGATAGATAGATAGATAGATAGATAGATAGATAGATAGATGGAGAGAGAAAGAGAGAGAGTGAAAGCGAAAGATAGATATCAAATAGTCTGTGATATAGATAGATAGATAGATAGATAGATAGATAGATAGATAGATAGATAGATAGATAGATAGATAGATAGACTGTGTAAGATAGAGAGAAAGGGATAGATAGCGAATAATCTGTGATATAGATAGATAATGAACAGACAGTGATAGATAGATAAATAGATAGATAGTCGAGAGAGAGAGAAAGCGAAAGATAGATACCAAATAGTCAGTGATATAGATAGATAATGAATAGATAGATAGATAAATAGATAGATAGTCGAGAGAGAGAGAGAGAGAGAAAGCGAAAGATAGATACCAAATAGTCTGTGATATAGATAGATAATGAATAGATAGATAGATAAATAGATAGATAGTCGAGAGAGAGAGAGAGAGAGAGAGAGAAAGCAAAAGATAGATATCAAATAGTCTGTGATATAGATAGATAATGAATAGATAGATAGATAAATAGATAGATAGTCGAGAGAGAGAGAGAGAAAGCGAAAGATAGATATCAAATAGTCTGTGATATAGATAGATAGATAGATAGATAGATAGATAGATAGATAGATAGATAGATAATAAACAGATAAATGAGATGGGAGATGCTTTTAGATAATATGACAATGTCTGATATAGATAGATAATGAAGGAACAGTGATAGATAGATAGATAGATAGATAGATAGATAGATAGATAGATAGATAGATAGATAAGGAAAAGACTGTGTTAAATGGATAGGGAGAGAGGTGGATAGATATCGAATAGTCTGTGATATGGATAATGAACAGACAGTAATAGATAGATAGATAGATAGATAAATAGATAGATAGATAGAGAGAGAGAGAGAGAGAGAGAGAGAAAGCAAAGATAGATATCAAATAGTCTGTGATATAGATGGATAATGAATAGATAGATAGATAAATAGATAGATAGTCGAGAGAGAGAGAGAAAATGAAAGATAGATATCAAATAGATATATAGATAGATAGATAGATAGATAGATAATAAACAGACTGTTTGAGATGGAAAGAAACGATAGATAGCGAATAATCTGATGATATAGATAGATAATGAACAGACAGTAATAGATAGATAGATAGATAGATAGATAGATAGATAGATAGATAGATAGATAGATAGATAGATACACAAATTGATTGAAAAAACATTCTTTGATATCTTTTTTCTGTGAGGGTGGGAAAAGCCAGAAGCTTGCATACAAAAAACATCGAAAAACTCATACTTGAGGGTTAGGGTGTGGCAGGTGTTGGCAAATGTACCCCCTAAGATGTTAGCAGCCAACATCAGTGCCCTACCCATTAAACTTGAAAAATATGTCGAACAGACATGATTCTTCCTCAAGTAGTATCGTAAAGACGTGTCATTTCCCTGCAACATTTGATAGACTATCTATATGTCAAATTCTGTAACATCAATCCGTCCGTCTCTCTAAAATAGTCATACATTGACCGATCGAAACCAAATTTAGGGGAGAAGGGCAAACAGGTAAGAGGATACAAAATGCACTTGGTTTTACTAAGGTGCCTAGCTTAGTACAATAAATTTTCATTAATTTGGGTGGGGGATATTTAGAGTTTTATTATTTAACATACAAAGTACTTCCACTATTAAAAACAATTAATTAAAATAACAAATACTTATTTAATAAAAATACAATATTGCTTTTTGCATATCTGTTCTTTAAGTTTTTGTATATACAAGAATCCAAAGAGGCAAATATAGCACGGTCTGGGGAATACGGTGGTTGTCGGTCTTGGGGAATGTTGTTTTTGGCCAAAAAACTGCTGCATAATTCCTGGTCAATGATGGAACATCAGTAGTGTGATAAGACGACCACACTCTACACACTTTCCTATCAAGCACTGCTATAAACAAAAATGTTATAAGCAAGAATGTTTTAGCTTAGTGTGTATGCCCGTCAGTGTTGAGGGTCAGTTTGTACCAAGCGGTTTCACTCTGCATAGTTTAGCTCTATCATAGCAACAGTCCCGATACTTTTTGATCAGCGTATCATGTACAATATGTCTGGGACCGCCTTCTGCATTTATTAATGAGTATCCTACCTTTGGTTTATTTTTTATTTTACCTTTTTTACCCGCAGTAGGTTGCAATTTCTTTCTGCGGTAGACCAGTTGTCATCCAAGGCTAGAGAACCCGATCTATCCTGCTATTTACCTTATTAGCACGTAAGTGAATGTAATGGATTCGACTGGAATTCGAACTCGGCTCTCTGATTCCTCAATCCGAGCCGCTATCCATTACTCCATCGTGTCTCCTCTTTATAAATACTTGTTGCAAAATAAAATCCTAACACTTACCTTCATAAAGTCCATCAGAGTAAATACTTCAATCTTGTATGTATATATGCTCGTTCCTAGGATACAGTTTAAAAGATACATAATACCGCAAACAAGCATTCAAGTGCAGTACAAATATGTAATTAAAATTAAATTAGGGATTCTTGTGCTTGGGCCGTTTATTTTATGTTTTACGGCATTTTTAATAGGAAATGCAGTATTTGTTATATCTTATATCTTATAAGTATTTTTTTTATATCAATCCACGTATGAATGCACATCATATAAAAGAGGATAGAGTAGAGATAGCGATCCGTAGAGTAATAGAGGATAGACTAGAAATGGAGATCATTTAGACGTCACGCTAACTTCTACTTATGCGTTTCCTCTCCGGTTACGTGGTCTACTTAATTCAAAAATGGGATCGCCTGTGTTTGCTCACTGGCGATCCATGTTCAAACTCAAGTGTCGGCAGCGACACTTTATTCCTGTCTAACAGTTTAATTAGCTCCTACTAAGCTAAGGTACGCAGAAACTATTTAACACATTAGTTTATGGCATCATTTATTTTTGAGAGAGGGTTACCTTAAATTGGAAATCCGTCTTAAGATTACCATTAAACGACAACGTAGATGGGACCAAAAAAGTTTTGACTTCTATGTTCATTTTTTTATATATATATATATATATATATATATATATATATTTATATATATATATATATATATCCGTCCTTGCATGGGATATTGCTATCACATATGGCCTGGTGCCTCCGCTGTAAGTCTCGAGGTCCTCGACAAAATCCAGAGACGGATATGCAATGTGATAGGTCCTGATCTGGCATCTAGTCGACAGTCGATTTCAGACGTGCTCTGGTTTCCCTCTGTCGCTTCGATAAATATTTTCACGGCAACTCTTCCGATGAGTTGCTCCCTCTGGTTCCCAGACTGCATGAATTTAAGCGAGCTACCAGATTGGCATCTAGGTCCCACCCTTTCACTGTCGAAACGGTTAAATGTAACCGTCTCTTCTACTCAAACAGCTTCTTCTCTCGCACTTCCCGTCTGTGGAACTCCCTTCCTCTTACTTGCTCCCCTGATAACTATAATCTTCAAATATTCAAGTGTAATGTCAATCGACATCTTCTGATACCTTGATCTTGTTCCCCGCCCTCCTCTTTATCCTCTCCCCCAAACACGCCTCTTTACTCTTGTTCTCTCCCTTCTGTAACCCCTTGCGTGTTAGCGGCACTCCCGCCTTGCTTGGGGTGAAGTAATGAAAGAAAAACCTTTGTTGCACACACACACACACACACACACACATATATATATATATATATATATATATATATATATATATATAGACATACTATATATATATATATATATATATATATATATATATATATATATATATAGTATAGTATGTCTGCTTCAGGTTATAAAATCAAGCATAATTAAGTGCAAACTAAGTGCATTTATATTATTTACATTGTCCGGACTATTGTAATCATCTGTATTGCCATATTCACGACGTTTCGGTCGTTGTACGCTCTGACATTCTTCAGGGGATTAGAACTTCAAACTGAACCCTTTATTTCATCCACCGGGGTAGATTGTTCTAGTTCCACGTGCCATGCCTCTTCCGGATGTCTTATCTATCTCCCTTGGGTCGAGTCACTGGAACCAACCAACGCATTTATCCACTGTATGGATGTATCCTTGAGGACATCAATGTAGGAATTTGGGGACTTAATGTCTCAGTTAACATTTTTTTTTACCAGAGCTCATATTGCAATTTTGTTGTTTTGCTTTTCTTTAGTGACATCCGGAAGAGGTATGGCGCGTGGAACTAGAACAATTTACCCCGCTGGACGAAATAAAGGGTTCAGTTCGAAATTCCAATCACCTGAAGAAGATTGGAACGTACAACGGCCGAAACGTCGTGAATATGGTAATAAAGATGAGGACGACAATCCTAACAATGTAAATAATTACAACACCTCCGCTGAGAAATATAGACAGATAAACTAAATGCAATATAAATTTTTATTTATAAATAAATTCAAAAGAAGATCGGTATAGAAAACATATATGTAATTAACTGATCATCCTATGACACTGAATAAATGACTATTTTTTATTATTATACATGTGAATATGGCCTCTTTGATATTCTACAACCTTTATCCGTCTTTCACCCATTGGTTTCAATTTTTTTTAAAATACCCCTTAATAATAACGCAAATATTTTCAAGGTATTTTTTATTGTTTTAGCCATTTTTTTTACTGAATTATTACAGCAATGAGAAAGTGACTGAAGACGAAATCAGGACAGATATGTTGGTGCGAATATTTTTTTGCCCCAGCCAACACACACGCCCACACTTCTCAAGTGTTTTGTTTGCATTTGAGAAAGCACCTTCTCAGGTGTGATACCTGCAATTGTTCCTTTTTTCCCCCATGGTTTGTCCTTTGACAATACAGTCTTTATTTCGGACGGAAGGTGACACTTCCTTCAAGGTATCATACCTAGCAACTACTTCCATAACTGTCTAATCATTCCGTTCTTCAGACACTCCCAGTGTGAAGCTTGATAACCTCTGAATAGAAGGGTTGGAAGGCAAACATATAATGTCTGAAAAAACGAAAGGAAGAAAGTCACTGATATTTATTTCCTAAATATAAATATGTTCAGACCTGTCTGTTCAACATTTTACTTTTAGTATTGTCACGTTTTCGAAAGCTGTGTTTTTCGGCCTTCAAATAGGCTTTATCTGGAAGGGAGATGGTTGGATTTGTTTTACGGCATATCAATCTTAATGGGTTATTTAATGACGGCAAGATTTTTTTTGCTGGTAATAATTTTTCCAAAAATGTATTGCTGGTAATACATTTTTTCCTTCAAAAATGTATTGCCGGTAATATTTTTTTTTCAAAAATGTATTGCTGGTAATATTTTTTTCAAAAATTTATTGCTGGTAATATTTTTTACCTTCAAAAATATATTGCTGGTAATATTTATTTTCTTCAAAAATGTATTGCTGGTAATATTTTTATTTATTTTTTTTTTTTTTGTTGCAAAAATTCATTCCTAGTAATAATTTTTACAAAAAAGTATTGCTGTATTAAAACCTATTTTTACACTTTCATGTTGTTTTGACCCCAGTTTGGGGGTTAACCACTTGCACATAACTTGGACCCTAACAGGTGCTACCACCCCGGGTCAGGGTGGACCTGGGAACACTAGCAATTAAAAGGTGGTTCCACGCTCCTCAAAACCTTCTGATCTTGCTGTTGGATACCCAGGACACGAATGTAGTTTATCGTCATACCCAGGACGCTCGAAGGGAGAGCCTCAAACTTAAACGCCCCGCGGCACCATTTTTCTCACCAGAATCTTATCTTACATATTTGTCTTGCACATTGAATATCGCTGCCACATCTGGTCTGGTGAAATTTGCTTTGGACCAATGAAAATCTTGTCTTTACAGAAGTCGACCGGTGAGCTGAGAAGAAAAAAGGAATTCACGAGCCTATGTGAAATTGTTTCGGACCAATGAAAACCTTGTCTTCACAGAAGTTGACCGGTGAGCTGAGAAGAAAAAAGGAATTCACGAGCCTATGTGAAATTGTTTCGGACCAATGAAAACCTTGTCTTCACAGAAGTTGACCGGTGAGCTGAGAAGAAAAAAGGAATTCACGAGCCTATGTGAAATTGTTTCGGACCAATGAAAACCTTGTCCTCACAGAAGTTGACTGGTGAGCTGAGAAGAAAAAAAGAATTCACGAGCCTATGTGAAATTGTTTCGGACCAATGAAAACCTTGTTTTCACAGAACGGTGAGCTGAGAAGAAAAAAGGAATTCATGAGCCTATGTGAAATTGTTTTGGACCAATGA